TCTTGGGCTGACGACCAGGCTCTGCAGCGGTCGTCACAGGGTTACACCTTTAGCCTTGGCTCCGGCTCTGTTTCGTGGCGGTCTACCCGCTCGTCTTCTGTTCTCAGCTCCAGCTGTGAGGCTGAGATCTACGCAGGGGCCATGGCTGCACAGGAGCTACGTTGGTTTATTTACTTGCTGACTGACCTAGGAGAGCCGCCTCGTTCTCCTCCAGTTCTGTACGTAGACAACAAGGCCATGCTGGCCTTGTGTCGGGAGCACAGACTGGAGCAAAGAACGAAGCACATTGCTCTCCGCTACTTACTGGCTCATGAGCTGCAGCAGCGTGGTCAGCTCTGCCTCACCTACGTGGCCTCTGAGGCCAACACTGCTGATATCTTCACCAAGGCCCTTCCGCCTTGTGATCATCAGCGCTTCTGTACTTTGCTAGGTCTTGTGCCTACCTGGCCTCACTTGCTCACTTCTTGATCTTGTTTGTACTGTACTATTTCTATACCTGCACTTGCTTGTTTACCTTTATATATATGACCTTGCATGTGAACTGGCCTTGTGGCCTTACTCTTGTGCTCGGACTGTGTGGTGACATTGTGATCCACCCTGAGCTTGCTTTGCTTTGCTTTGCTTGACTGGTCTTGTGACCACTTGTTCTCCCCCACTTTGCCTATGGGGGTGTGTCAGAACATTATAGCTTATACATTTGTGTAGGCTGTAGTGGGGTAGCCCATAAGGGGTACAACCCAATTAGGGTTAGTACTTGTACCCAACTGTTTCATAGTTCATTCATCCATTCTCACTTCTCGTCACGGCGCGCATCAATCTCTGGTAAACAGCGACTAAGTGTCAGTCGCATCTTCTTTGCAGTTGCGGTATTAACTAAGCTGTGACTTGCTCCTCCATCAATAAAAATCTCCACTGCTGACCCCTGCATTTTCCTGTGAATCAGTACTGGGCAATCTTTTGCTGTAGCCTCCTTATTCAGCCAAGCCCGATCCATTGCGTGATTCGGTACAATTACTCGGTGAGGGTTAGTGGGGCCGGGCGAGCAATGAGTTTCGTCAGTACTGGGCTACTGACTGTTGGCATTTCCCTGTCTTCCAGACGCCCTCCCCTGCTCTGCTCCTCTGACCTTAGATCCTCTAGGCACTAATTCTTTCGATGGCCCGGTCTGCTGGACGTGAAATAGCGCCTCAATGGCGCGGCAGCTGAATTCATAGGGACAGCGTGTACAGTGGCGTGCCCGGTCGGCCTCCGAGCACGATGTCCGTTGTAGGACACTGGCCTCGGACGGCGTAATATGTTGATTTTCTCCGCGAGCGCCAAGATTCCGTTGAAGTTTGAGATCCTGCAGAGTAGTATTTTCTGCAAGATTTCCAGCTTCAGGCACAGCTCGAGAAAACCGATGTTGCAATCTTGAACAAACCCAACGTGCCGCAAGTGCGCAACTTCTTGCTGAGAGAAAAGTACGAGGAATGAAATGCACTAGGAAGCAAGTGGGTACAAGTAGCCAAACCTAAAAGTGTTGTACCCCATATTATCTACCCCACTACTGCCTACACAGACTATAGCATATAAGTTTGACACACCCGCATAGGCAAAGTGGGGGAGAACAAGAGGTCACAAGACCAGTCAAGAAGAGCAAAGCAAGCTCAGGGTGGATCAAGACGTCACCACACATTCCGAGCACAAGCAAGCGGCCACAAGACGAGTTCACATGCAGAGTTATATAAAGCAGAACAAGCAAGACAGTGATTACAACCTAGCAAGTGTAAGCAGGCATGTATATATATAGAGATCACAGTACAAACAAAGTCAAGAAGAGAGAAAGTGAGGCAAAGTGGGAATAAGGCCTAGAACAGTGCAGAACCGCTGATGATCACAAGGCTGAAGTGCCTTGGTGAAGATATCAGCAATGTTGGCCTAAGAGGCCACGTAAACAAGACGAAGCTGACCACGCTGCTGCAACTCTCGAGCAAGTAGCGAAGAGCGATGTGCTTCATTCTGCGTTCTAGTCTCTGCTCATGACACAAGGACAGCATTGCCTTGTTGTCAACGTACAGAACTGGAGGAGAACGAGGTGCCTCGCCTAGGTCGGTCAGCAAGTAGGTGAGCCAGCATAGATCCTGTGCAGCCATGGCCCCTGCGTAGATCTCAGCCTCATAGCTAGAGCCGAGAACAGAAGACGAGCGGGTAGACCGCCACGAGACGGATCGGAGCCAAGGCTGAAGGTGTAACCCCATGACGACCGCTGCGTAGCCAAGTCGTCAACCCAAGAAGCGTCTGCGTGACCAGTGAGAACAACTGGACCCCGTCCCCCAAGCACGAGCCGCATGCCCAACATACTGCACAAGTAGCGCATCACCCTCTTAGCTACCTTCCAGTGCTCTGGTCGGTGTCTCCCGGGTGCAAAGTAGCAAGCCAGGATGCTAAGAGGGTAAGCAAGGTCAAGACGAGTGCAGGTCATCAAGTACATGAGGCAGCCCACAAGCTCTGGATATGGGCCACTCGGCTCTAAGGACTCATCCAAAGGCAGAGCTGAGAGCGAGTGACCGGTAGGCAAAGGAGTGGACTGAGCACTGGAAGTCAAAGCGCTGAAGGACCTACTGCACCATGTGTGACTGAGTCAGGGTGATGGTGCGGCGTGCTCTGTCCCGAGTGATCTGCAAGCCAAGATAGCTGCGCAGCTCACCCAGGTCTGTGCACGTGTATCTCTTCTACAGCTCCGACTTTACGTGGGCGAGTCCAGCAGTGTCAGCAGTGGCAAAAACCAAGTCGTCGACGTACACGAGGATTTAGAACGGTGGGAGTGAAGTGTCGGTGCGTAGAAACAGCGACAGGTCAGCAGTAGAAGGAGCAAACCCAAGAGCCACCAGTATAGTCCTCATTGTGTCGTGCCACTCATGAGGCGCCTGGCGGAGACCATAGAGTGGCCTCCTAAGGCTCCACTGGGTACCAAGAGGAAACGACCTAGTGAAGCCAGGTAGGCGGCGCAACCAGATCTCCTCGTGCAGGCTGCCCTGTAGGAAGGCTGTGGTGAAGTCAAGGGAGTGAAGCTCGTAGTCACGCTGAGCGGCGACGTGCAGCAGCACTCGAAGAGTGGTCATCCTCGGGGTAGGGGAGAAGGTCTAAAAGTAGTCAACTCCCCGGCGCTGACTGAAGCCTCGAGCCACGTAACGCGCCTTGAAGACAGGCAAAGAACCCAGCGACCACTTCACCCTGAAAATCCACATGCCATCGGCAATGTTCGCCCCAGGTGGGGGAACCTCGTCAACGTAGGTCCCTGTGGACTTCCACGAAGCCATCTTTGCGTCCATGGCTGTCTGCCACTGAGAGGAGTAGGGACCCTCAACCGCCTCTGCGTAAGAGCGAGGAGTCGGGATGTCTGGTGCATCTGGGTCTCCCTCAAAGGCAAGTAGCATGGACATGGGATGAGGTGAGGCAGCAGCAAAACACTGGAACTCCTCCTGCCTGTCCTCAAGGACGTCCGTGCGAAGGCCACACTCAGACGGACGGAGGATAGACAGACTCAGACTTAGCAACAAGACTGGCAGCGTAGTCTAGACGACAGCGAGCAGCAAAGTCGACAAGCTCAGCAACAAGAGCAGACGCAGTAGTGGACTCAAAGGAAGGGTCAGCGACAACAGTGGTAGGACCAGCAGCACGAAAGGAGTCAGACTCTGGGTTAGCAAGGGCTAGAAGAGAGGGCTCAGGAGGAGACGGCAGAGGGACACGCTGCGGAGGAGTGGAAGAACGCAAAGCCATCTGGTGCATGCCATGGAGAGGAGGAGGACGCTGACGCGAACCACGACGACTAGTGCGAGCAGCACGAACAGGCGACGCAGGACGAGACGCAGGCTCACGACGCTCAGCAAGACCTCCGGTCGGACCAGTGTAAGGAGAAGGAGCACGTAGTGGGGAGGCGGGTTGTAGCTGTGACTGTGACTGGAAAGGCGGTGGACACTCTAAGGAATGAGCAAGACCAGTAGAAGGCGGGAGACCAAGGACCTGCTCAAGGAGCGGAACGAAGTGCGGCCCCAACCGCTCAGCGCCCCCAGAACCAGTAGGGGCAGCTCCAGCACCCCCAGCAGCAGCTCCAACTCCAGCAGCAATACCAGCTCCAGCAGCACCTCCAGCAACTCCAGCAGCACCTCTAGCAGCCCCACCAGCACCTCCTACAGCTCCAGCAGCGCCAGCCCCGGCACCTCCAGTAGCACCTGCTCCAGCAGCACCGCCAGAGCCAGCACCTCCAATTGCTCCAGCTCCAACAGCACCACCAGGCCCAGCAGCTCTAGTACCTACAGTACGAGCACCTGCGAGACCAGTGGCTCTAGAACCGCCAGCAGCAGCAGGACCTCCAGCGCCCGTAGTACCACCAGCTCCAGCAGCACGGCTCAGCGCCTAGCAAACCACTCGCGCAGGTGCTGTGGAGAGAGTGGCTCCCGCCGGGACGAGGCACCCGAAGGACCTCCAGGCTCAGCACCTCCAGACTCCATACGCGCAGGCTCAGCACCCTCAGGCTCCGCACCCCCAGACTCAGCAACCCCAGGCTCAGCAGCCCCAGGCTCAACACCCCTAGACTCAGCACCCCCAGGCTCCGCACGCTCAGGCTCAGCACCCCCAGACCCAGCACCTGCAGGCTCAGCACCCCTAGCTGTACCAGAGTCAATAGCTACCTTGATAGGCTCGACTGCATCTACCTCGGACACACCTGAGTGGGCAGGACCCTGAGGGGGGAGGGGGTCTACGGGGGAGGACCTGGCGAGAGGAAGAGCAGCGGGGGGGGGAAGGGGGGCAGTGCGGTAGGGGAAAAGACGGTAGTAACGAACCGACTCGTCAAACGTGACGTCTTGAGAGGACAGAACACAGCCCGAGGTGGGGTGGTAAAACTGCCAACTAGGCGCGTCAAGAAGGAAGCCAAGGAAGATGCAGGGAACAGCACGGGAGGACAGCTTGTCCGCAGACAAGTCGCGGACGAAAGCTCGAGATCCCCAGACTTAAGCAGATCACCCCAGCGAGCGAGGGAGCTCCGTGGCGTCAGGAAACTGTGCACGCCAGGCGTTAGTCAGGCGGCCAAAACAGCGGTGCGTGGCGTGCGGCCCCCCGCATGTCTCCCCACTGCGCTGGCCTGTGCGGAGAACGTAAGCACAAGGACCAGCACCCCCAGACCTCCCACGCCAAGCGTACCACTCACGAAGCTGCTGCGGGGACAGGGTCTCACGAGAACGCTGCTGCTGCTGGCGCTGGCCACCACCAAGGCCTCCCCGCTGCACAACGCCACCTCGACCAGCACCACCGCCACCACCACCCCCACTGCCGCTGCCGCCTCCGCCACCCCCACTGCCGTTGCCGCTGCTGCCCCCACCTCCACCGCCGCCACCAAAGCCCCCACTCCCGCCACCACCCCCACCTCCACCCCCACCCCCTCCGCCGCCTCCACCGCCACCACCGCCACCCCCACTATCTCCTCCAACACCCTTGCCCCCCTTGCTCCTGCCGCTGCGGCGCCTCCCGCTAGAAGCAGACGCAGCGCCGACCGGCTCGGTGCCAATGAGGTCGACAACAGCAGGAGAGGCAACAGAAGGCAAAAGGGGAAGGGGGGAGCACCCCTCTAAGAAAGGGGAACGAGGGTCACCACGAGAGGCTCCTACAGCGACTATACTTTTCTCTACCGCAAGGAGGCGCTCCTTGAGGAGGTCAACGGTGAGCGTGGTGGGGTAAAGGGAGGGGAAGTGGTCCCTGACCGAGCGAAGGGAGTCAGGGAGCTGGGTGACGAGGTAGTAGAGAATGATGTACATATGTGGGAGGTTCGCGGCGCAGAACTCGGGAGGAAGCGCAGCGCGGTAGCGGGTGTCACTAGTGCGGAGGTGCGTAATGAGGTCAGCGAGTGTGGCAAAAGCAGCTAGGTCAGGAAACACGTAGGGCAGCATGAGGCGGCTAAGGGCAGCAGTGGCAGGGGAGGAGTAGCGCGCAACAACAGAGTCGTACAGAGTCCTAGCGGTCTTGTACTGGTTAAAGTGCGCGTGCTCAGCAGACGGCATGTGACTATGAACAGCAAGACGGGCAGCAGCATCGCGCGTGGTCTACTGCGAGCGAACAGCACTGTTTGCATCGGCAACAGGTGCGACAGAGACGCCGGACGTGTGATCGAACAGTGAGACTCCGTCCCTAGAATCGCACTACAGAAACAGCTGTAGATCATCGATCTAGACCTCGAAGTCAACCGCTCGACCCTCAGCATCGAAGGTAAGAACATTAGGGCTAGCCATGACAGCAGGAGCAGCAGTAGTAGCCTAGCAGCAGTACCAGCAGTAGTAGCGCGACTCGGCAGTGCTGCGTGACTCGGTAGGGCGGCGCGACTCGGCAGGGCGGTGAGGCTCGACAGGGCGGCGTGGATTTAGCGGTGCGCTTACCAGTGGCGGGAGGGGAGGGAAGAGGCCGCAAGTGGTGGGGCAAGGCCGTGGCGCGCCGGAAGGGTAGGGGCCGCGAGAAGGCGGCAGGGCAGGGCCGCGACTCGGCGGCAGGTCAGGGCCGCGTCAGGGCGGCAGAGCAGGGCCGCAGATGTGACGACAGCGACGGTCGCACCGGCGGCTGCAGGCTCGACGGCGGCAGCAGAGCCGCTACGGCGGCAGCAGGGGCGACGGCTGCTGTAGGCCACGGGGCCTCGGCGGCTGCCGTAGTGGAAGGGGCCGCGACGACGAGGCGAGCGGGCCGTGCACGGCCGCGACGACGGGCGGGCGGGCCGCGCAGGGCCGCGACGAAAGGGCGGGCGGGCCGCTAAGGGCCGCTAAGGGCGGCGACGGGCCGCCAAGGGCGGCAGGGCGGGCCGCTTAAGGGCGGCAGGGTGGTTCGCGGTAGGGCGGCGACGGGCCGGTAAGGGCGGCAGGGCGGGCCGCTAAGGGCGACAGGGCGGGCCGCTAAGGGCCGCGACGGCAGGGCGGGCCGCCAAGGGCCGCGACGGCAGGGCGGGCCGCTAAGGGCCACGACGGCAGGGCTGGCATCTAAGGGCGGTAGTAGGGTAGAGCCAGAGGCGCGCTTCGGGCAGGGCAGAAAAAATGTTCAAGTGGTGGGCCCTTAAAAAAAACGGTCCCACTAGGGAACCCGCTCTATACCATGTGAGAAAAGTACGAGGAATGAAATGCACTAGGAAGCAGGTGGGTAGAAGTAGGCAAACCTGAAAGTGTTGTACCCCATATTATCTACCCCACTACAGCCTACACAGACTATAGCATATAAGTTTGACACTTGCATGCTGAGATCGAAGCCGCAATCGGCTCAAAGCGTGCCCGAAGCCTTGCGCACCATACATCCCACGTGCTGTATTGGGCGACTTCGCAGAATGAACTTCAGGTTACGGCTGGCTCGAGGGCCTTTCCCCTTACGACAGTGGCTCATAGGCGCTCGACGACGTTACGATAACTCGTCACCGGTCCATGGCGGGCCCGTGCAGCAAGGAAACTGTCAGAATGAGAAACGAGAATGAGGAGTGACTAGCAGGAACAACAGTACAAATATGTCAAACCCTAATCTGGTGTACCCCTTATGGTGTGACCCACTACAGCCTAGAACCACACAAACATATAAATGTTTGACACACCCCCATAGGCAAAGTGGGGGAGACCTAGGGGTCACAAGACCAGTCAAGGCAAAACAAGGCAAACAAGCTCAGGGTGGATCTCGAGGATTCCACACAAATTCCGAGCACAAGCAAGCGGTCACAAGACCAGTTCACATGCAGTTTTATAATAGAGCAAGAGGTACAATGATCACAACCTAACAAGGCAAACATGTAGGTATATATATAATGATCACAGTACAGGTAAAGTCAAGAAGTAAGTAAGTGAGAAACAGTCGGCACAAGGCCTAGAAGAGTGCAAAAACGCTGATGGTCAACAGGCGGAAGCGACTTGGTGAACACATCAGCAGTGTTGGCCTCAGTGGCCACGTAAAGCAGAAGAAGCTGACCACGCTGCTGTAGCTCTCGAGCTAGAAAGTAACGCATAGCAATGTGCTTCGTCCTGTGCTCCAGTCTGTGCTCCTGGCACAAGGCAATGGTTGCCTTGTTGTCGACGTACAGCACTGGAGGAGAACGAGGCTGCTCTCCAAGGTCAGTCAGCAGGTAGGTGAGCCAGCGAAGCTCCTGGGCAGCCATGGCCGTGGCGTAGATCTCAGCCTCACAGCTGGAGCTGAGAACAGAAGAAGAACGAGTAGAACGCCAAGAGACAGAGCCAGAGCCAAGACTGAAGGTGTAACCCTGAGACGACCGCTGAGTAGCCTGGTCGTCTGCCCAAGAAGCGTCTGAGTGCCCAGTGAGAACAGGCCGGTCTCGCCCTCCAAGCACTAGCCCCATGCCCGACGTACTGCACAAGTAGCGCAACACCCTCTTAGCTGCATCCATGTGCTCCTTCTGGTGACGGCCGGGAGCAACATAGCGTGCTAAGATGCTGAGAGGGTATGCTAGGTCAGGTCGAGTGCAGGTCATCAGGTACATGAGGCAGCCCACAAGCTCTGGATACGGACCACTCGACTCTACGGACTCATCCGAAGGCAGAGCTGAGAGCGAGTGACCCGTAGGCAGAGGAGTGGACTGAGGCGAGGAGTACGTGAAGCCGAAGCGCTGAAGGACCTGCTGCACCATGTGTGACTGAGTCAGGGTAATGGTGCGGCGTGCTCTGTCCCGGGTGATCCGCAAGCCAAGATAGCTTGTCAGTTCACCCAGGTCTGTGCACGTGTGTCTCTTCTGCAGCTCGGACTTCACGTGGGCGAGTGCGGCAGTGTCCGCAGTGGCAAAGACCAAGTCGTCGACGTACACGAGGATGTAGAACGGCGGCAGCGAGGTGTCGGTGCGCAGAAACAGCGACGGGTCAGCAGTAGAAGGAGCAAACCCAAGAGCCGCAAGTGTAGTCCTCAGTGTGTCGTGCCACTCACGCGGCGCCTGGCGGAGACCGTAGACTGGCGGCCGGAGGCTCCACTGGGTGCCAGGAGGGAAAGACCCAGTGAAGCCAGGTGGGCGGCGCAGCCAGATCTCCTCGTGCAGGCTGCCCTGCAAGAAAGCTGTGCTGAAGTCAAGAGAGTGGAGCTCGTAGTCACGCTGAGCGGCGACGTGTAGCAGAACCCGAAGAGTGGTCATCTTCGGGGTCGGGGAGAAGGTCTGGAAGAAGTCAACTCCCTCTCGCTGACTGAAGCCTCGTGCAACGTAACGCGCCTTGAAGACAGGCGGAGAGCCTGGCGGCCGCTTCACCCTGAAAATCCACATGCCACTGACGATGTTCGCCCCAGGTGGGGGAACGTCGTCGACGTAGGTGCCTGTGGACTTCCAGGAAGCCATCTCTGTGTCCATGGCTGACTGCCACTGAGAGGAGTAGGGACCGGCCATCGCCTCTGCGTAAGAGCGTGGGGTCGGGATGTCTGGTGCATCCGGGTCTCCCTCAGGGGCAACAAGCATGGACACGAGATGGGGCAAAGCAGCGGCAAGGCAACCAAACTCCTCCTGCCTGTCCTCAAGGACGTCCGTGCCAAGAGCACACTCACCCCCGACGGACGGAGGACAGGCAGACTCAGACTCAGCAACAAGACTCGCTGCATAGTCTAGACGACACGCAGCTGCAAAGTCGACAAGCTCAGTGACTAGGGCAGACGCAGCAGCGGACTCAAAGGAAGGGTCAGTGACAACCGTAGCCAGGAGACGTGTGACAGTAGGACTGGCAGCGCGAAGGGAGTCTGACTCCGGGTCAGCAAGAGCAGGAAGAGAGGACGCAGGAGGCGACGGGAGAGCAACACGTTGCGGAGCAGTGGACTGACGAAGCGCCATCCGGTGCGTGCCTGGGACAGCAGGAGGACGCTCACGCGGGACATGACTACCAGTGGTAGCAGCTCGAACAGGCGACGCTCGACGAGACGCAGGTGACACAGGAGGTGACGCAGGCTCACGTCTCTCAGCAAGACCGTCAGTCGGACCAGTGTAAGGAGCAGGCACAGGGAGTGGGGAGGCAGGCGGTAACTGTGGCTGTGACTGGACAGACGGCGGACACTCTAAGGCGAGAGGAGAACAAGGAGGAGGAGGCTGACCAAGAACCTGCTGAAGGAGCGGAACGAAGTACGGTCGTGGCCGTGCAGCAGCTCTCGAACCAGCAGAGACACCAGCGGCAGCAGCAGCACCTCGAGAAGCAGCAGCACCTCCAGCACCAAGGTCCGCAGCACCTCCAGCAGCACCGCCAGCAGCAGCAGCACCTCCAGCAGCACCGCCTGCAGCAGCAGTACCTCCAGCAGCACCGCTAGCAGCAGCAGTACCTCCAGCAGCACCGCCAGCAGCAGCTGCACCTCCAGCACCAGGGTCCGTAGCACCCACAGCAGCTCCAACGCCCGGGTCCTCAGTACTAGCAGCACCTCCAGCAGCACCGCCAGTAGCAGCAGCACCTCCAGCAGCACCGCCAGCAGCAGCAGCACCTCCAGCACCAGGGTCCGTAGTACTCGCAGCAGCGTCAACTCCGGGGACCCCAGCACCAGCAGCTCCACTACGGAGACTGATGTGCCGAGCGTACCACTCTCGAAGCTGAGGGGAAGAGGGCGGCTCCCGCCGTGGTGGGGAAGCACGAGTACCAACTCCAGCAGTACCACGAGCCCGAGACTCACCCCGCCGGAGGCTGCAGTACCGTGAGTACCACTCACGCAGCTGCTGCGAAGAGGGAGGTCCTCCAGGCGCCTCACAGTCAACTGCAACACCACCAGGCTCAGCACCCCCAGGCTCAGCAACTCCAGGCGCAGTACCCCTAGACTCAGCAACGCCAGGCTCAGTACC